ACGAAGTATGCCACATTCCCCCCTCCTTGAAAGACCGAGCTTACCTGCGAGGGCGAAGCTGTCTGGTGGAGGGAGGGACTGAAGTCCGGGTGGGAGGCTGTGCAGCTTCCGTCGCTAACCGTTTYTTCTCATAATGAGCATAGATATCAGGAGCGGAGGCTCGCAAAGCTGCCCGGGAAATCCATCGMGTGTCATCAGSGTCGCACCACTTGAATGTGACTTTGTACTGCAGAGGCTTGTTGTCGYGCTTGCGATGCGTGATGACGYGGTCGACTTCCTGATGACCATCCATGGAAGGAGGGTCCTGTGATCGTCGTCCCAGGAAGTCGTCGCTCTTGGCTGGTGTATATGTGGCCAGCTTAGAGGCGTGGAAAACCGGGTGCACCGTGAGGTGCGGCGGGATTTCGATCACGAATGAAGGGCCATCAGGCTCATCACCCGCGGCTGATGTGACGGGCCATGGTCCAAACCACTTTGGAAGTAGCTTGCGGGATACATCCTGCYCGAGTGCAAACTCTTTCGTGGAGACCCAAACAAGGTCGCCGRCGCGGATGGGGCATGGCACGCGACRCCTGTTAGCTTGYTGTTGCATGCAGACTTGAGCCTTTTGCATGTTGGCGCGGGSTKTAGCCAGCAAGTCCCTATACTTCCGAACGGAGGCGSGCGAACAAGCGGCGTCAATGTCGGCAGTCCTTGGGAAAGGAAGATCARCGAAGATGCGGCCTTTCCGGCCACCGTGGTGTAACTCRAACGGAGTCMCGCCGATGGCCGGGTGCACCGAAGTGTTGTAGGYGAACTCGATGTCGGGGAGGCGGTCCACCCAATCCTTCTGATCCGTACGGATGAGTGTGCGAAGCATTACTTGAGGGGGKTTTGATGTGCCCGCTCCGTCTGCCCGTCCGTTTGCGGATGTCGAGCCGAACTTGGYTTCATCTCGGTGCCGGACTCTTTCATCAGAGAGGTCCAAAATGCCGACATGAACCGAGTGTCGCGGTCGCTGACRATGTCTTTCGGAACGTTGTGGCCGCAAATCCAGMTGGTGTGTAAGAGGTGTGCAAGTTYCGGAGCCGTGGCGTGGTACTTGCAAGGAAGGAATCGTGCGTACTTGCTCAAACGGTCAACGACCGTGAGAATGTCGTYGTGCCCGAAGCGGTCCCGGGGGAACGGCCCAGTGACGTCCATGGCAATGGAGAGGCCGGGTTCCCGTGGAATAGGCAACRGGCGTAACTCACCGTAGGGGTTGCGATTGCGGGGTTTGCTTCGTCGRCAAACTTCGCAAGAGTCGCAATAYYGAGTGACGTCGGTAATGAGRTCAGGCCATCRGAATCGCTGCCGAAGTCTTGCGATCGTACGGTTGACTCCGAGGTGGCCGGCGAGTCTCGAGTCGTGGTACTCGCCGAGGAGACGAGTCCGTAAGCGACGGTCGTGTGGGACGCATAGTAAGTCCTTGCCTCATGAGTGAAGCAGCAGGTAGCCATCGATGATCGATGATGCGATAGTGGCTGGCCGGCGGGTGGTCTGAGGATAGTTGCTCGTAGAGCGTGGCGTATTCCGGATCGGACTTATATGCTCGCACAAAATGCTGATGAAGGGCTTCGTTGAAACTGAACGCGTGGCGAGTCACTGCGCAAAGATCTGATCTTCGCGAGAGAGCATCCGCGGCTCGGTTGGAGAGGCCCGGGATATGTTTCGGTGTGAAGTCGAACTGATCGATGAAGTACATACACCGAGCAATCGTGCTGCTCACCGTGTCTTGCGTCTTGTAGTAGGTCAAYGAGTTATTATCYGTCACCCAAGTRAACCTACGACGCCCGAGGAGGACGTGYCGCCAACGCTTGAGTACCGTGACGAACGCGAGCAACTCCTTCTTCCGCGCATCATCAACCGAGTTKATGGGAGRCACCTTTTGGCTGAAGTACTCAACCGGGTGCCAATCTACTCCATCATGTTGTTCCAAAACTGCACCCATGYYGTAGCCGGAAGCGTCCGTAGTCACTCTCGTAGGCAAGGTGGGATCGTAGAWACTCAAGACGGGAGYGAGGAGCAACGCCGTCTTYAATTTGTGGAACGAACTGCGRMYTTCATCGGTGAAGTGGAAGGGCACCTGTGGAGACTGCAATCTTGACAAGGGTGCRGCGATCCRTGCGTATCCTCCGATAAAGCGTTGGTAGTACCCGRCCAATCCCATGAAAGAGCGAACCTCCGTGGTGTTGGTCGGTTCCGGCMAATCCTGAATGACCTTGATCTTGTCCGCAAGCGGACTGATGCCTTGCGGCGTCACAAAGTGGCCCAAGTACTCGAGCTCCTGCTGTGCGAATTCGCACTTGGCTCGGTTGGCCTTGTACTTGGCCGCACGAAGCCTGTCCAAAACAGCACGTAGATGCACGATGTGCTYGTCCAAAGTTCGACTATACACCAAGATGTCATCGAGGTAGATGAGCACGAACYGGTCCAACATATCGCGAAACTCCGTTGTCATTGCCGCTTGGAAGGTGGTCGGGGCATTCGTGAGGCCGAATGGCATTACGACCCACTCGAAGTGCCCGTACCGTGTCTTGAACGCGGTTTTGTACCTATCTCTTGGATGGATCTCGAGCTGGTGGTAACCGGATTTGAGGTCCAACTTGGAGAAATACTTGGCGCCGGCGCCGCCCAAACGTTCAAGAAGATCGTCGATGCGTGRAAGCAGGCCGAYATTCTTAATKGTTTGAGCATTAAGCTTGCGATAGTCAATGCATAAACRTAGCTCCTTGTTCTTCTTCCGAACGAAGAGAACATGTGCACCATAGGGCGAGCAGCTAGGGCGAATCYARCCCTTGTYAATGMGGTCATCGAGTTGCATTCGAAGCACTTCGAGTTCCTCCTCGCTCATGMGGTAAATACATCCGCGYGGAGGTACGGCCCCRTCTTCGAGGATGAWCTCGTGACRAATTGGCCGATTCGGTACGATTCCTRCGGGGGCTTCAAARACGTCGTCATAGGAGTCAAGAAGCTGTAYAATGCRTGGATCCGGTGGCTGTTCCGCCGCTGRCTCGTCGGGAGGAGGGAGGGCGTGCAAGAAACAAATGCCYRTTTCCKCCACGTCGTTCCGTGCGATGGAGTTGCGAATGCTTGCCGCGGAGACCACGTGACAACCAATCGAAGGATGAGGTGGGGGRACCRTACATRGCACAAGTACCCCGTTCCGGTCACRAAYGTGAACGGTGCGGCGATAGAAGTTCACCGGGTGGTCCTCGTTGYGCAGCCATGACATGCCCAAKATCATGTCGAACTTTGTGTCCAATATGTCGAAGGACACGGCCTCGCGTGCAAGYGAGGCGAAGTACACGGGGACGGAGTCAATGCACCAGTCAATGGACTTGTGCGTACGAYCGTCGACCAACGTGACTTGCGTAGGCTGCGATTTCCTTCGAACGYGYGGCCCAAGGTCGACGCGGGTCATGAAATCCTGACTGATGTAGTTGCAAGTAGCTCCACAATCAATCAAGGCACTGCAGGTCGCCTTCCCGATCTGAATGCGAACGTAGAGTAACGGTGCGTCGGTRTCGTCGTACCGTTGCGTGGCATACTCGCGGTCAATCTTCGCAATGTACTCRCGAAGKTCAACAACCGCTACTCCGTTTTCCATYAACGGAGCTGGTACTGCAGCGTGCAAGTAGTTGCGTAGCTCYGCCATTAGGGCGTTGCAATGCGGCTTYGGCAAGGAACCAKATGGGGGAAGAGGCAACCATTGGAAGTCCTCCCGTGTCAATGGGTYGAGTTCCTCAAGTCTAGACCACACCGACRCGTCCCCGAGTGATGTCGGCGAGGATGTTGGTTCACTTGKCGATGGTGATGAAGTCACACACGCARATGACTCTTGCACGTGGAGAGGTTGGTCCAACGGCGGGACCAGCTGGRCAGYRTASTCTTCATARTCTTCGTGAAGACTGGCGACATACGCATGTTCCCCGGACGTGGAGGAGGCAAGGCAACCGTGTCCGACGGAGTGGGAAGTGGAGTCGCCTCACTTCCCGCGGAGCTCAGTTTTCTGAGCTTTGTCGTGGACGGACGTCTTCTTTGCCTTTGTCGGGGCATTGTGACGTCGTGTGTTTGGTGTTGTTGCACCAGTAGCAATAGTTCCACCTCTGGCGGAGTTTTTTTTTTTTTTTTTTTTTTTTTCATAAAAGGGCCAAGTTCCCAAGGCTGATATTTCCAATAAGAAGATTGAGGCCGGAGTCCTCACAGTCTACCCGGAGTAACTGACATCATCATGTTGAGGATCGGGCTCAACACCCCTTAAAGAACAGCAATGATGCAAGAAACTTAAGATGAAAACAACCTCTTCAACCTTCTAACGACTGCCAGATAAAACATAACACAACTAGCTGTTTCARCTTTAAGTCTCTTCTCTACCAAGCCAAGACATATCCACCAGCGATAACATTGAAGAAGGGAAAGGGTCAGGGAAGAAATCTGGATATCTGAGGTAATCGCCTGCTTGAAGTGAGAACCAGTCCCTGAATTCCAGATGGAAGTCCCTCTTGAAGAGGTCTTTCATCCTTGTTCCTCCTGGCCACTTCACCTCACCTAGACCACCACCCTCGTCTCTCCCCAGCCAATCTCTTTCAAATTCTTGAATATAGTTGTGGATTTTTTTTTTTTGATGAAACATATTTAATTTAGTTTTGAGTTTTGCCCATTGAGAACGAATCTCTGTATGTAACATTTGTACCATAATTGTAATTGTTTCCTTAATATCSWGTCTGACTTTCTCTCTTTCATGAGTGCACCGTCTATACCAAAGTGTCCATAGCATCACTGTGCGCCCAACCATATATAAGTTATGTTGAAAAGCCGAGAGTTGRCCATCTGTAGGTTCCYAATGACCCAGGAGTATCTACTTTGGGCCTCAAYATTCTGTAAGTGGCTTTGACCGACAGTGAGAGAAGAATGCGTGGTTTTCCTTTCTCATAGGTGTGCCAAATCCATTCCTCTGGGTCGAAAGGGAGATCTGGGATGGGGAGATCAGGGTGAAAGGTCCTYCATCCTTTGAYTGAAGGATCATAAAGCACTCTGATCCGATATATTGTCAAAAAARAAAAGAATAAAACCTTRTCCTCYTRATTTTTTACCAGGAGGTGATCATTCGTAATCTTYATSAGGCTAACAAAGACCCCATCSTCATCAGCATGAGCCACCTGTCCAATACATTGTTGATTATCCTGCTGAAATCCTACTACCCAGTCCGCCTCCTTGAACTTCGATCCTTTTCTTAGGGTCCTTACCCAAACCAGTGTGGAGCAAATATGATTTGTTCCAAGTTTGTGGACAATTGATGTGCATATTTAAGAATTGTTCTCATCTGATCAGTTGTTTTCCAATCCCTTGTAGCTGTATCCCACARATCTTTTACCCTCAGAACTCCTCTTTTGACCCATAGGGCCCAAGGWGCCCAGGAACTATTTAGAATGCAGCCTTGCGAATCTGTTATCCATYTATTCCTGAAKAGAGGTTGCCTTAAGACTTCCTCATATCGTGAGGGGAAGGGTTTATCTRGTAGGGGGASAGCTCTCCATGTCCTTAGTAATGATACCCATAGGTTGTCCTGACCTAGATCTCGTCTTGCTGCTTCTCTATCACCCTCCTCCTTGAAAACCGTTCGTGCTCTTGGAATAACTCAGAATCTGTCCTCTATCCAAGTGAGTGGGTGTATGTCTTTTGTGGTAGTTGGTGCCAACCGGCGAATTTGTTCTAGCGCCAGGGYTTSCCACGGAATRTCAGCGRAGAAAATTAACTTTTTAATCCATTGCATGGACAGAGCCCTATTTTGAATTGTAGGGTCCAGGATCCCCATACCTCCTCTTGTTTTTGGTTGGATTAGAGAAAGCCAARCCACCCTCGGAATCACCCTATTCTGCTCATGGTCTCCCCTTCAYAGGAAAGTCACTACCTGTTTTTGGAAAACTCTGATATGTAATTTACTTATGGGCCAAATACAGGATTTGTACCAGGTAGAAGCAAGTACGACATTGTTAATAATCAAGGCTCGTCCAAATAAAGATGTATGCTTGTTCTTCCATTGGGTCATTTTTTTTAATGCAGGARTAGTGATCCATTCATCATTTGTGATTGRTTTGCCGCAAACAGTAATTGAAACCCCCAACAYCCTTATGKGGGCTTCCAAGGGGAGCCAACWRACTTTGGGATTCTCTGGACGCACCCCATTCAAATGAAACCACCATCCCYGAGTCTTACTTCCCCAATTAACCACCATATYCGATACCAATGAAAATTTATCCATTAGGGCTTTAATTTCCTCCATATTAGAGGAAGAAACYTCCATCATAATAGTTAGGTCATCTGCAAACATAGATCAAATTGAAATTGTGTCATCAGGTATTCCTGAGATCCGAARTTTYTAGATCTTCTGGTTAGTTCGTAGGTTAGCCCCTAAAGCTTCCATAATGATAACAAAGAGAAAAGGGGCTAGAGGATCACCTTGTCTTACCGACCTCTGAAGATGAATTTCCGGTGAGAGGAGGCCGTTGACTTGAATTCGCGTAGTAGCATTAGAATGTAAAATCCTTACCCAGTTTCTTAGGACAGGGCCAAAATTCATCTTGCTTAAACAAGCATCAAGAAAACACCAGTCAACATGGTCATATGCTTTCTCAAAATCTATAAAAACAAAGGCAGCATCTTTTTTTGATTGACGTGAGAGTTTAGCCATCTCATTAATTAACAAAATGTTATCTTGAATATGTCTTCCAGTAATAAAGCCTGTCTGTGAGGGGTGGATGATACTTGTCATGACTGGTATCATCCTATTGGCCAAAACTTTAGCCAATAATTTATAAACTACAGTAAGCAGGGTGATAGGTCTATAATTCCTAATATTCATCTTATCACATTTCTTATATAATAAATTTAGTATGCCTTGACTGACAAACTCTCCCATGACCCCATTTACTTGAATAGCCTCAAAGTATTCCATCAAGTCTTTTGAAAAAGTTGGCCACATGATTTCCCAGAATTCTTTTGGTAGGCCATCGATACCTGGGGTCTTGTCTTCCTCCATCTGGAGAAGGGTCGTCCAAATCTCCTCTTTTGTTAAAGGTCGTTCTAACCATTCTCTGTGTTCTGATGTTGGAGCTTTGTGTAGGGGAGATAAAAAATGTTGTATATTTTGAGCATCTTCCTGGTTTCTAGTGGGATCTTTGAGCGAGGTGAAGAGGTTTTTGAAGAAACTGTATGCAATTCTTAAACTGTCAGCTGAAGAGGTGTGAATAACCRTCTCCTAATAGGAATCAAAATGGTCCAAGAATCCTTTAATCCTTGTTCTTTTTSCTCGTGTGTTGGCTAATGAAAAAAAACTAGCATCCATTTGTCCTTCAGTTGTATATTTAGTTAGTCTTCCTCTGATTAAGCATCCTTGCCAACGATGTTGGGCCAGGGCTAAACGCTGATTTCTAAGATCCATTAGGTGAGGCTGTTGATGAGGGTCCATTGTTTGATTTTGAAGAACGAAGTTTAGTATTTGTTCTTGAATTTGTATTTCTTGAAGATATCTGTTTTTGGAAATGAGCTTAGAATATTCATTTCATTTTTTACCCAAAAAGGCTACCATTATTAAACCATTCTATGAAGGAGTCATGTTTGTCTTTAGTGGTGTGTCAGTATTTCCACACATCCTCAATATAACTCTTGAATTGTGTACTYTTTAKGAGTGARGTATTCAGCTTGTAAAAACCTTTCCCTTGGTCTGKYTTTTTCCGGAATGAAAGTAAGATTGCACACATCTTATGATCTGCTCCTGGCCAAGGACTCTRAGGAAAAATGGTTGCCCAAACTAAAGTGTGATCYAAATTTTCAGACATTAATATTAGATCAATTCTTGATCTAGAGAATTGTGTCGTGCCATTGTTACGAATGCAGGTAAACAAGCGTTCTCGTGGGAATATCCATCTATATGTATCATATAATTTCTCTTCCTCACATAACCTCTGGATAATACGCTCATCTTCTTCAGCATAAGCAGGACAAGGAGAGGACACTTTCCATCTATCCATCCATCTATCTGGTGCAGCATTAAAGTCCCCTGCCATGATGACAGGGATGCCCTTTGAGATTTGGGTCCTAATTTCCTTAATGAATGAAATCCTTTTGGGTCCTAATTTCCCTCATGAATGAAATCCTTTCCTGTAAATCGTTCGGGCCATATAAATTAAACACACAGATGATTTCTACTTCCAGCATGACCAATGCTTTGACGCAACGACCCTGATCCTTGTATACCTCCTAATACACCAATTTGGCTCTAGAGTCTGGTGGTACCCAAATTGTTACTCCCCCAAATCCATTTCTAGGTGCATGTGCACACACTTTCTGAAATGGCCATACAATGTTATGAGCCCTAGAGTGTGCGGGGGAGTCTGTGAGGTGTGTTTTCTGTATACAGACCAGATCTGGCCATGTGCGACCACCTACCCCTTTTAATTGTTCCATTATAGCTTTTCTTTTTTCCGCATCCGCTGTGGCCAATCCGTTTACATTAATCGATCGTAGATCTAAATCTGCAGATCTGGTTGCCTGTTCCCATACCGGATTTCTTCCGTACAACGCTTGTAATGTCTCCATTAGCACATACAAATAACACCTTATCCTCCTTCCTTTTATAGTCTAATCCAGCTGCCTTTCTCGAACTCTGAGGAGGCCAGCAGGATTTCGCGCCTAAGAATAGAACACAGGAATGCTATCTCATCAGCTATTGACCATATG